CAGAGACTCACCCATGAGAGAGCCCAGGTTGAGCACCTGTGCGAAGATGCAGCTCTGGGGATTGTAGGTGCCACACGTACTGGGAGAGAGGAAGAGGAAGGAGAGGGGAGGGCAGGAAGGTGGAGAGGGGGCAAACGGTGTGGGCAGAGAGATAAGAAGGAGGGGCAGAGAGAGAGAGAGATTGTTTCAGTGAGCTGTAGTATTACTGTAGTCAAACTGCAAATTCAGAGAGCTTTACTAGCATGACAGTGTTGCCAAACACCAGAAACAATTCTCACAACATCTCCAGTACAAACAGATTACTGAACACGCAGGAATTCTGGGATCAGGTTCGCTCTTTTAGGGAAGAATGTGGAATGCATCACTACGTTTCAGTGAGCTGATGCAGTTCTGCATCTCCAGAGCCCGAAGGGTCCCAGAGGACTCGAAACTCTGCTGAAGCCCAGCCAGGCCACACTGCGAGTCACAGCCAGCGAGCCTCACCTGATGTAGGGGAACTCCCGTGTGAGATTGACAGACCCGTTGGACACCGCCATCCCGAACCTGGGAAAGACCAGCAGAGGGTCAGCAGCCTGCGGGCATCTCTCCGGCAGCGGAGATCAGCTCCGCAGGACCGCCAGAGAGACGAAGCCTGACTCGTCGGCGTCATCATCATCCTCCTCTGACAGACCCCAGCGCAGAGAGACCGCGGAGGACAGGGCGCGAGTGGAAACGGGGGGGAGGGAGGATTGCGGGAGGCCGGAGAATGGGGAAGAAGGGAGCAGGGCTCGGGGTTCGAAGGCTGAGGAGAGACTCACTCACACCGCCCAGAATCCCACAGTCCCCAGCATTGCCATGGCGATTGGGAGCAGCGCCCAGGCCCACATCCTGACCCGATCGGAACCCTGTGGGGGGAAAAAAAGACATGAGACTCCAGACTCGATCCGACAGGCCCGTCCGGCGTCGCTGGGGAGGAGCACTCTGACACTGTTCTCTGCGGAGACGGGCCGTCGGTGTCGGGAACAGAAACCACAGGGGTGTTCATCGTTCTGACAGCCTCTCGGGCACCTTGGGCCCCTCGGGGGCGCCGTGTTGTCTTACCTGCGACCCCAGCTCAGCCCGTTTCAACCAGCACCTCAGCTCCCCAAGTCCCAGTCAGGGGAGAGGATGTGAAGACTAGCCCACGAGTCAGGCCTCATTTAGAACAGGGAACTCAGAATGAGCAATGATTCCTCACACTTCTACAGCACCCTTCTGGACACCCCACTCACAGCACTGGACAGGTCACGGGGATCCCCTCCACCCCCACCAGTGTGTACCCCCACCTGGATGATGCTCCAGTCCGCTCCCCACACACCAGCTCTCAGTGGGGAGGAGAGCAGAGTGATGGAGCCAGTTCAGAGAGGGGGGTTATTAGGAGGACATCATTGGTAAAGGCCAGGGGGGAATTTGGCCAGGACACCAGGGTAACACCCCTAATATTGAGAATATTGAGGCATCGATTGCTCGTTGAGCTCAGAGAAGACGCCGCCCAGAATAAACGGTGCCCGTCTTAGGTGCGACTAGGCCAATGGGTCTGTATGCAGCTTGGACTGTGGTGCCATCGCCAGACCTGCACTGGCTGTCCCTAATAATCCTTTCTGCCCAGTTTAAAGGACAGAGGACCTTCTGATGGGGAGATCCTGTTGAGCGCAGCCAGCGAAGGATAAAAAGACTTCAGCTAACCAGAGAGCAGGTAACTCAACTGAACACAAGAGCCGCACTATCAGTAGGGCTCGGCCTCCTGAGATAAGGAGTTTCGATGGCTTTGCCAATAGTTCCTCATAGCCGCAAGGGCAGGAACAGTAGTGTTGAAAGGCCCTGAAACAGCCAGGCCGTGACAGAAGATCCAGTTGTTTCCTGTCTCCAGAGGTCCAGAATGTCTCTCCCAGTCCGGCTCAAACCCACCATCACAGCCTGACCTGAGCACTAACAGAGCTCAGCTCACTGTCTGCCCGGCACCACAGACGTTTAACTCAATAGACCGCTCAGATGCACTTGTTGGCATGAGCGATGATGATCTGATGCGGAAAACACAAACACAACCTACGACCACCTACGGCCTGCATCACTTATGTTTAAGACCCAGACCAAAACTCGCGTGCAATGCCATCCAATTCCTCTTTCAGTAACAGCCACCCTGACATCACAAATTAAATCCGGCAAAACAATTTTAGACCGAACGAGGGGCAGACTGAGAGACCAGAGAGGGAGGGAAGAGAGAGGGAGGACAGAGAGAAGTGAGGGAGAGAGAGAATGAGAGAGGAACAGAGACAGAGCGAGCAAAATTCAGTCCTATTGCCTTCATTATCACAACAGTAGATCCGGAAGTTTCACATTTAAGTATATTTCCATAAAAGCCAAAGTCCAGTAACAAAACAAATGACTGTTATCCTAAACGTTGTAGAAGTCTACAATAATCTACACACCTGCTTCTGAAGTACTGGCTTGGCTGAATCCAGCTGCAGGACCAGTGAAACGAGAGAAAAGCTCACCTCTGGTGCTCCGGCAGTGGGATCAGACTGAGCGATATCCAGCCGGACTCTTTCCTAACCCCTTGCTCTCTCTCACTCACTGAGCGCTACAGTGCGCCACTCCTCTCTTACCGTACTTCCTGGCCTATAGGCTGCGCCGCGCCTGTCCGGTGGCATCGTGTCAGCCTACAGCTCCAGAACTGGCTGGACTGAGGGACTCTGGGTGTTCTTGCAGGCTGGTGTTCTGGTCCGGCTCGACGGAGGGCCTCAGTGTTCTTGCAGGCTGGTGTTCTGGACCCGCTTGACTGAGGGTCTCTGGGTGTACTTACAGGCCGATATTCTGGACTGAGGGTCTCTGGGTGTTCTTGCAGGCTGGTGTTCTGGACCCGCTGGATGGTCTGTCAGCAAACTTTACCGCCTAAAGTTCCCCGCTGATTGTTGAGCTGTCAATCAGCAGGGGCTGGGTGGATCAGAATGGAGGGGAGCGGAGGGGCTACACCTGTCGCTTCCTGGGCAAAGAGCTCGGGCTCGGCGTCCCTGCAGGCTCACATCATTGGCTGGAAACACCCACAATTCACGCCTGCCAGGAACTGGAAATGCTGGCGATTTCCTGGGCGCTGCAGTGCTGTCGTCTTACTGGCAGTGACCGCGAGGGAGCCGGAGGGGCCCAAGCCCGCCATCCCCGAAACAACCTTCGGCGTACGATACCGCAGTCGCCTGAGTCCACACACCGGATCCGAGGGAGCCCCGCGTGCGTCAGGAGGAGGAGAGGTCGTCAGCCGCCCATGAAGGTAATGAGGAAGCCGTGCTGAGCCAGGAAGATTAGAAACCGCCCCCCAGAGCCCGAGACGGACCGGCTCACAGCCCGGCTCAGCCGCTCGGGAATCTCGCCTGCTTTTCTTGAAGGGGTTTCCCGGTGGCTTTGTTCCTGGCCTGCGCCGGCTACGGAAACGGGTCTCGTCGGCTGAGGTCCAGTCGCGCGGGCATCCACGTCGGGGCCCTGCGCGCGTCACACGCCTTCAGTGGAGAAAAGAGACACAAGTGTGCCCCCACTCCCTACCCCCCCCACCACTATATACCGTACCGAGGTGACGACTTGGGTCTCATCTACTCCAGACATTACGGCACAGCAGATGGAGTCTGGACTCGGCCATAATTCTTGCTCCCCGAGTGATTTAGGGCTGTTTGCGCAAGATTCTGCCGATAATATGAACTGCTCTTCACACTGAACCATAGTCGTTTAGTCATTTATTACTCATGTAGCGAAACCTCCAGGGTGGCAGAGGGCAGGTCCAGAGGAGGAGATAAGAGTCGTCTTGTGCACGTGACGCGCTGATGTGAACATCAATTCTACATCATTTTACGACAGACCCTTACTCTCCCATTACCGTACCTGTCCTATAGCTCCTCATGCAACAGGACTGTTCTACTATACTTGGACTGTAGCCCCTACCAGCACATAAAAACGCAGTATTCTTGAAATACTCACGAGGGGTGTGCCTCCTGCTGTCCCTGGAGAAAACAAGGAGTCTCCACAAAACTGCAGCCTTCTGGAAAGAGCACGCCACACACTGAAGTAAACACAGTCCTTTAATACGGTTATTACAGATGGTCGCTTTCTTTAAAGGGGTTACAAAGCAACACGAACGAGGAACGAGCACGTGGAAAGAATACCATCAGGCCAGACACAGGTATCGATGTGGCCTCCAGCCGAAAAATAAATCTCAGTACCCCCCCCCCCTCTGTTCGCTTTCCAGATCGGTGCCTCCGTACGAGATGAAGAGGGGAGCCAGCGAACCCAGGCCAGAGACCAGGCTCCATACGGAGATCCCACACACCTCCACCAGGAAAATCCCATCCACTGTTCTCCCAAACACCCTCCAGGATGCCTTGAGGCAGGAACTCACGCCAAATCAACAGCGTCTGGGGTTTCTGGCCACTAGGGGGCCTCAGGATTATTTCACCCTGGCAGGGCCTCACCGCAGGAGACAGGGAGGCTGGGGGGGCAGCGGGCGACTCTAATTGCTCGTGGGAGGGGTGAAGGTCATGAGGTCTCGGGCGACCAGCGACTGACGCACGGTCTCTCTGTACATCGGGGTGAAGCACAGCGGATCACTGCTCCTGGGCTGGAGGGGGGCGAGAGGGGTGAGGGAGAGGTTAAGACTCACGCGCGGCTCACCTTTGCTCTTCAGCGCTCGGGCAGAGAGAAGCAAAGCGAGGGACCGGAAAGGGGGGGGTGGAGACACTGCAGGAGAGCAAGGGGCCAGCCGGCCGCGCAGAGCTGCGACAGGCAGGGGGAGCCGGAGGGCAAGAGGCGGACTGCAGCGCAGGGCTGGCGGTACTCACCGAGGAGACGGGGGTCACGCTGTGCAACAGCGCGGGGACTGCAGCCAGCAGGGCTGGGGCTGTGGATTGAAGAGAACCCATCAGCACCCTGCGCAGGG